GCGAGAAGTTGCCGATCATCTTCAACGCCAGGGGGTAGAACCTTTTAAGAAACCCTCTCCTCTGAGGATGGCAGATGGGTCGCGGTCTAAGGCCGAGTATTCGTTTCGGCTAACAGGAGAAGCTGCGGGAAGACGGTGGGTAGGAGATGCCTTATACGTTCCCACTCTTACCACTGATTTGATTTTGGGTATGGATGCCATACGAGATCTCGGACTTGTGACGGTCGTGACGGAGGTGATAACAATGGGCGTGGGTGATGACTGTTCTGGCCAAGGGGGCCGCATAGACAGTGTCAAAATTGGTGACGAAGACCCCGAAGGCCCTTGCAATGGAAATCCCCGTCCGGTTCCTGATGCCAAATCATTCAGCACCACGTTGGCTGGTAGTGGCGAGTAGAAGAGTTTTTCTTTGTTTTGCTTTGAGACCCGTGGTAAAAGAGGAATCATTGGGTTAAGAGCCGGAGTATTTTGTTTTGGCCGGAGTTCAAAGATTTTTTTTTCTTTTTGGCCGTTTTCTTTTTTTTTCATCCCGATGTAAGTGGGGGATGTAACGAGTTATTTTCCCTAGGGGGGTATATTTTTGCTATTTGGCCGCGCACCGATTGTTGAGGTGAGCGAGCGGCGGCAGCGAGGCTAGCGAGCGCCCTTTGACCCGGCTTATCAGTGCCGATAAGCCTGGGATATCCTAGATCTTCAGGACAGTATAGGAAGGACATTCTAGTGGTGGATCCCGGACAGTGAAGAAGGCAGTGTTGGTGTCCTGTGTAAACGGCCGGCGTACGTTGGAGGTACAGAGTGTACGTGGTGTGATCGCGCCGAGTGTTGGTGTAAGTTGGGTACAGACGGTACAGACCCACTGTTGGTGAGTGGACGACGTTCCTTACACTTTGGTTTAAGATTTGATTTAATATTAATCTTACACTTTATTGCGAGAGTTAGAGTTGTAACCGTGCTGGTCAAAGCCTGACGGTAGTTAGGATTTATATTAGTCAGGAATAATATTTAAATGTATTCCTGACGGTTCTGGGCAGGTGCTAGAGCGCAAATAATATAATTTAATTGACTGTAGTAGATATTATTTTGCGTTGTACCTAGAGTTAATTATATTACTAATAACTCTGAGGCCCGACAAACCTAGGCTGCACGATTTAGCGTGCGTAGTTGGAAGCACGAGGCCAGTAGGCTAGTAGCTAGTTTTATTAGCCTATTAACAGAAGCCCGGCTAAGCAATATAACGTTGATATAGTAGCAGTAGTGGTAGTAGCAGTAGGGTTGGTATTGATTAATCATTTAATTAGTTTAATTTAACCTGAACAGCTTGCTTAGTAATCCAACACGTTAGCTTGGTAGCTTGGATAGCGGAGTACCGGCTATCAGATAATATATTTATCTAGTGTTTGGAACGTATTTAATATTTATTTATCTGCTACTAAGTAGCTCAATATTTTAATAGTGCAATTGCCATTTAGTTTTGCTAGTTTGGCTTGGTATTTATTGAGACCAGCTACTAGTGGTGTAGTCACTCTACCTATAGTGTACTTGTATATTATTATGTGGTACGATTATTGAGTGAACTGTTTGATTCTTAGCTTGGGCATTAGAGTTGTGTATTGGATTATAGTGGCCTAGTAGACCCCGCCTGGTGATAACACGCGTTGTGGTTTTTATTGGCAAGTCGTCGTGTAACTCACCGTGTTTTAGGCACTCTGGGCTTAACTATTGGATAGTTAGGACGAAGCCCGAGTTGCGTAGTCAGCAACGACCCCCTAGGAGTGTGGAGAATCGGCGTAGGCCTGGTAGTGATTACTGCACGTTTGTTTTGGTGACTTGTTTTTGACTTGTTCACAGTGCCCGTGTATGAGCCAGTCCTATACCGGTTAGACCCGGCTTTTGGCCTAGTGGTTTCCCTGACCTTATCGCAGACCCTGGAATTTTACCCAGCCATTGTAGGCTGAGCTATCCCGGCAAACGGTTGCGACTGCTGCACTTTTAATATTTTTTTCCCAGTGCAGAAAATCTCGTCGCAAGATTAAACACTCACAGTACGCTCATTAAGTAGGCCTACTCCGTAGATCTTAAAGGGCCGGTACACACACACTGACTTTTGTCGTGCCCCTGTACGACTCAAGAAATCGTATATCTGCACGACAAGTAGAGAAACAAAGTAGGCAATGGAAGTCGCATGGGGGTATACACACTAGTGCGACAGCAGTCGTGGAGGTGTCAAAGTCGTGGACGACAAATTTCGAGTCGCGCCCTACACCGACTGGGGGTCCGACAGGCGAGTCGTGTCGTATGGGCTCACGACTGTTTTGAGTCGTAGCGTGACATGGCGTTATACGGCTGTCGCGTCGGTGTATACACACTAGTGCGTCTCGGGACACGACTGCGGGGCGCCACGCTGGGTTTTAGCTATATAAAACTGGTGTACGACACTTAATTATTAAATTACAAACGTTCAAAAACCAAATTTTTTGCCATTAGACGTTTTCCAAGATGTTATCATGGCAACGGTTGTGAGAGGTTAGGTCAAGTATTATTAAATTTATGTAGGCTATTTAAAAATAGGTGAATGATTGTAATTTTTCAAATAGTTCAATATTAAACAATGTCTTTGTTGATTTTTAACCATAGGTGAACCATTAAATGGGGTAGGCTATAATAAATTTGGACAGTACAGCCGGATAGTCCGGCCATTTTGTAGTCCGGCCGGTGGTCCGGTCCCGAGGTGGCCAAACTAGAGAGAGTCTGCTGTATGTACATTTACAAAAATAACTTATTGTAATGGTAACTTATTGTAAAGGGCAACAAAAATTAACCGAAATTAACATTACCTTAACTGATAACACATGTAATTAGACGAATTAAGGATTTATAATGAAATGTACATACATACAGTAATTGGCATTACATAAATTCTTGTTTATTTTTGCAAGGTATTTCAAAACTAGTTTTTTTACATAGCAACGACTTTCCATACACATTCATTCTGTTTATACATGGTTGTATGCCTGTATCCCTGGGTTAGCTGGGTTGTAGTCCTAAAGCCAGTAGAGTTCGCTGTTGTGGTTGCATAGTCGTATACCGATACGACAACTGCCGTGAGGTTACACGACTTTGTCGTATGCCAGCACGACACGAACAGTCGTACTCACATGCGTCCAAGTCGGTGTGTGTGTACCGGCCCTTAGGATTTTAGAGGCGCTCAGAAGTATCTTTCCAACTACTCAGCAACTCTAGGTTCTAAACAAAGGTCTCCGACCCCTCGGTCCCCCAGCACCTGAGTGTCGGGCGGTCTCCCCCCGGGCGGTCTCATCAACCTCTACTGTGTGGGATTGGAGGACCAGCACACCTGAGAACACAGTTTACCTTGCAGGCCCTGATTAATTACTCTATTGTAGCCCTACATCGCTTACAACAGGGTTCACGGATCCCCGGTGTTGCGCCGTTTGTTTTTGCTATAGGCATTAATAGAGTTTTAATTAAGCAGAAAAGAATTATTAGAATATTGGCAAATGAATCAAAGTCAGAACACTGCAGACCTTAGTTTTTACAAACTGGTATTTTAACTGTGATAAATCTGTATATATTTGAAGTCATTAGAAATTTAAGAAAAAATATTGATAATTTTAGATTTAGATGTGATGTTCATGATTATAATACTAGATTTAGGGACAAAATATATATTACTAGATGTAGGTTAGGTGTGGCACAAAAATACCATGATTATTTGGCTGTGATATTATACAATAAATTACCAACTTGCCTCTAACTAAATTTTATAAATGGCTACAGGAAAATCCCATTCGGTGGAGGAATACTTTGAGCGAGAAATTGTGATAGTTTAGGCTTGTTTTGTTATTTTTGTTCTGAAATGTTTATTAATTGTTTTGTCTTTAAATTATGTATGATTCACGTTTGTTTAATAGTCTTTAAGCCAATACCACACTGTACCTGACTCGCCATATAATTTCTTATTTTATGTAGCTAACTTATTAGGCCTATTTTAAAATTGACAAGACTTATTGTATTTTGTATTTACTTAACGGTCAATAAAATGTCTTATTGTCTTATTGTTTTGGAACTTCTACGCTTTGGTTACTGGTTGGTCTTTCTACCAAGAGTTTCATCGATTTAAAGGATTCGTGAGTAAATAAAGGAACTTGAAGAATATAATGAAGTTTGCTTGTTGGGGCCAAATCGGAGACGAATTTTTACCCAGATGCCATTTGTAATTGCGATATCAATTTATGATGCCATAAAATAAAATGTTAACGTTAAATAACGGTTTGTTCAGATCATTCCCTTACAAAAAGCAAAAACAAAGACAATATAGTTAACAAATTAACAACGAGTTTGCTATAGTAATGTAGCATCAAAAATTGATTGATATTTTCAATTAGTATGTTTATTTCAATTGTACTCGATTTACAAAAATAAGTTAAATACTGTGATTTCACATTTAGCCGAAATATGCAAACCTTAACTACATTCGGATTACACTATAATGTGGATTGTTGCACACCAGTTTTCCAAATAATAGTCTAACATTGTTTACGTTCAATTGTCACACATACAACTAAACATAGTTTTCTCTTTGGTTTGGACCTTTCCCTAGTCTATTACTATGTTTTTTTTTGTTTTTTTTGGGGGGGGGGGGTGTAATGTTATGATTGATTATATAACCTACTGTTGGTCGGATTAGAACCAACCAAGGCATAACCATCGATGTACTATTACTACCCATACTAAATATAGGACCCATATAGTTTCCCCTACTTCTAGCTAGCGATGTGCGAAGAGCGGTTCCAAGTGGTCTACAGCCATATTGCCCATTGAGCGCGTCGCGGGACACAGCTGGCTAGTGATTGTTGCCGCGGCGGCCTCCGATTGGCTGAGCGCTGACGGTTGCGTGGCAACAATGCGTGCTCTCGGCCAATCACAGCGAGCTGGCCGAATCTGAGCCTCAATCTGCGGGGCGGAGTCAGTCGCTGCCGCGCCGCGGACCCGTGAGGTTCTGTGGTTTGTGTCCGCAATCTTGTGTGTTTGGATTTCTCTCGAGGTCTCTACTGGTATGAGTGCCTTTCCGTAGTTACTAGCTTTAAGGTAAGGTCAAGACTTTTTACTTTACATTTTGTCTACATAAAAACTTAGCTTATGGTTGGAACAAATGTTAAAAAATTTTATTTTTAAATAAGTAAAAGGCCAAGTAAACCTTTATTTTCTTTTTACGAAATACTGGCTTTAACTTGTTATTGGTAAATGGAGCCAAGAGTCGATGAGGTTGCCAAAATCATTATTAATTCGGAGTAATAACATATTTATTTATTTTGCTACTAACGGTCCAAACAAACCGATTTACAATTTTTTTATCAAACAATTCATTAGCCAAACATGCAATGGGACTGTCTTAGCTAATTAAATAATGATAGGCTACGTTAACTTGCAGATTAAATAACTCAAGTAAATGTACAAAGAAAAGAACAGACGGTGCAACCTAAAGTTGGATAGTTGTATAACAACAAATCGCAAAAAAGGGAGATATTCGTACAGAAATTAACAGAGTGTAGCATATTATATGTTGCAATGATCATTTGAATAAGTAGGGCCTATATGATAAAAGGTAATCGCACGGAGAGCATTTTCATCCTTTAGCTGAGAAATATTAGTCAGTATTTTTTTTACAAAGATCAACTTTCGTCTGTAGGCTGTACTTGTTTCTCCAATGATCATTTAAAACAATTAATATAATTAATTTAGTTCCAAAATTCCTTGTAGTATAGGAGACAAATAGATGGGATTGGTTGTTTTCCATGATGCAATTTATGTCACTGAAGCAGTAAGTGTTGCAGCCATATGTTCACAGTTTTAATTGCTGCGTTTTAATCAGATAGCAACCTAACCCATCAAGATTTTTACATTTTATTTAACAGTTTTTTAAAATGATACTCTAAAACTACTAAAAATGTATTGTACATTATGGTTTACGATACTATTCGAATTTATGTTTATACTACTGCTGAAAATCATGACTTTGTTACAACAATCAACTTCATATTAGTAGTATATTTTACAGAAGTAAATTTGTGCATTGTATACAGCTTTCTACTTAATAATTTAGTTAACATTGTTAAAGACGTTATAGGGCTGGATTCATAATTTAGTCAATTCAAATATTTATTTAATTATTCATTTCAACGGCGATCGCCATTTATAATGCTACCAATTGTTTTAACAACGCTTAGATTATTCTGTTCATTACTACACTTCAATACAACTTGTGAATATTTTGTAATTTTTACCATCCACACGGTGTTTGTGCAATACGTTGGCAGTTGGCATGTTGTAAACATAAATTAAAGTATGTCTGTGTGATAATTAAAACCGTACTATTTGCTATCAAGCCGCCAATTCACTATAAACTTAATTACAGTGTGCTTAGTGCCTACCTTTGTTTAAACCTGACTATCAGAAGTGAGTGGAAATAAAATTTAAAGTTACCCTATATAATTTTTTTTAAGAATTCCATCACTAATTTTACAAAAGTGCACATCTTGTGTTCATTACTAAATTTATTAGAGTTTTGAAATCAGAAATCTTTATTGTCATATTACTATTTTATTTATTGATCAAATTGTTTTTTATTACCAGACAATGTAATAAAAATCTAAACTAAACTGTTGATACAAAAATGCAGTAAATAATTTTACATAAATTTTACAACTAATAACAAAATATCAAAGCTTATTGAGCTACTGTCGTCCTATATTTCATTTACGTATAGATACGTCCTAAAAATCGATTTTTGGATCTTGAACGTTTTTATTATTTATGATTATTTAATTATAGATTTTGCTAAAATAGCACTGAAAGACTCGCTAAAACCGCCAATCTTAAAGTTATCAGAAAGTCTGAATTTAGAACAATTTCCCAACAACTTATGTGATTTGTTTTGTAAGGTTAACACCTCAATTGACATTATAAGTAACATTTTATGTGCTTTTGATTTGTAACTGAAAAAAAAATTAAATAGCTTTAGACGGTAATCCGATTTTCAAATGAGGATTAAGCTATTACGGTAGGTCTTGTAGCATTACTTAAACCCGGGACCGATTTACTAATTCGTTTTGATATCCCCAAAGGCCAAGAACACTGTTCGTTGAAATTAATGTATACATATTTGACCGTCAGTGTATGTTGGCTTTAAAAATAAACATACATATTTGTTTTTTATCTGTGACTTATAAATAAATAAAAAACTTTCTGTATTAATAATTTGAAAAAATTGGCGCTTGTTTTGAATATTGCCTATGGCCATCATACTCCAATTTGCTACTGTGATCTCAGAAACGTTATATAATGAGAGATTCAGTGTATGTGATGTATCATTGAAAGATTAAATATTTTTCACATTGACACTTACATGGTTCGGATGTTCGTCGCAATCCCGACCAATCCCTAATGCAAAAATGATGTTGCCAACCTGTTAAAAAAAAACTTTAGTTGGAAAACGTTAATTTTTTATACATTTTCTTTTCTGATAGTGTACGCAGTGTTTAAAAATAGTTAATAAAACATAAAGTTCATTAAAATATTGGTGACGTTTTTTATTTTAAATTGAATACAATGTTATTATTTTTCCTGGGAAAAGTCAGAACTTTTTCATGGTTTGAAAATGGACCCAGCTGACCTCCATCGTTGTGCTAATGAACCACAGCTGATCTACTCAGCACTTATCTGTCACTGTATCCATTCAACACTCGTTGTTCACTAATAATACGCAACCTGATACGACAGCGTAGTGTGATTCTACATGTAATATAATATCCACTTTACAAGTTATATTTTACGTATAACTGTAATAATTTAAACTTAAAGTTTTTAAAACAAGCTGCGATTCCTGGGCAAAGTAGTAATTTCATGTTGTCAGCAGGCTGGGAAACCTTACAGCAACACGTGTCAGGTAATCTGTGCCGAGGTGTGGCAACACTGGTTGAGCACAGATTCAACTTGTGAAGCTTCGTAACTCCCCAGAAACAAAATGGACGACGTGTCCATTGACGAGCCCATGTAGAGTATTAATTATTCATATTTAGTGTCTTTTCTTATAGGAATACTCATTAATTTAACCGGAATATCTTATAGCTGCAACCGGCGTAAATTCTGGGTGACAAAAAAGAGCTCTTGCTAACCTAGGTTCCCAATTTTGTATTTTTTTTTCAAACAAATCTATTTATGAAAATATGGCATAATTTTTTGATGTTGCTAAGAATAAGAAATGATTTTGTAAAACTATGCACATCAAGCAAACAATATGTATATATAATTTTACATTGTGCTGCTTTGGTTTGAACAAACGTTTATAATATGGAAGTATGGATGTCAGTATGCTTGACTTTTTACTGACATTTTGCCTACCCAGCAGTAGAGCTAGCACAAGATTACGCCTTTTGATCGCGCTTTCCTAGACGAGTCATAAAAACATTTGTATGAATTCAAGTGATGTAACTTATGAGTGAACTTCTTTTTGATAAAAAAATCACGTTTAACTTTCAGGGGCATATTTAGAATCTACGAGGCCCCGGCGGCTCTCACCAAAGAGGACCCTCTGTATTCTGATTCATCGAAGGTCGGAACTTAGGATTTAGAATTGCTCCAACTCAATTAATTGACCTATTGTTTCCAGCAATATGATCGGCAAAAATACCTAGGAGACTAGTTAATAAATAAATTGTTTTTATAATAATATTAGGGGTCATACATAGGTCGGGCCATACATTTTTCATTTATTTCAGGTTGGATAAAAATGTTTACCTTCGGGCATAGGATCAAAGTTGGGTAGTTTTGGAAATAATTTATTTAAAATATATTAATTGGTGTAGGCTACTATAATCGGTTTATTCCAAATTGGTAATCACGGCCCAAATTGTAGGCCTCTTCTGCAGTCGTAGTAAAATAGTGAACATCATGCGCGATCGCGGAGATAACCTTTGTCTTCTGCGATCGCGGTGAAATCATGAATGTCTCATGTAGTTGCGGAAAACAGTGAACATCTTGCGCACACATCATTTGCGGAGACATCATCTTCGTCTCCTCCCATATTTACTTCCACCTTCCACCAAGGTCTCCTCCGATCACGGCGAAATCATGAAAGACTCCTGTAGCCACGGAGAAATAGTGAACATCTTGTGCGAGTGCGGAGACATCATCTTCGTCTCCTTCTATCATGACGAAATCGTGAAGATCGTCCGAGTTTGTGGGGACATAATATTTGACTACCGCGGTCGCTATAAAATCCTGGACATCTTCCACGATCACGCATGAATAGTGACAACTCCTATAATAGTGTATAGTGTAGATCTTTTGCGTTCGCGTGGATTTCATCAACGTCTTCCGCGATCGCGGCGAAACAGATTATAGGCGAAACAAATTTATCGGATTCAATTTATTCCTTTAAAGATAAATTAAACATTCCATATAGGCCTACATGATTATATTCATGTTTATGTTTTTTTAGCCAAATATAAAAGTATTAAATATTATTAGCAGTTAATGTGTTTTAATCGGTTGGAAAAAATAGTAAAATTTCTGCCAACAAAAATATACTCTGAAGTGAACCCTGAAGGGAACGTGTAAACATATTCCCTTATGGGTGTTTCAGATCAAACCATTTCAGATAGCAGCCTTTTAGCGTATTAAATAATACAGTAGAATTTTCCGAGTGTTAATTTCATTTGTATGAACATACGAGCCTATTCATATGACAAACGGTTGAAGTGCTTGCCTTCAAACATGAAGGTCGCTGGTTCGATCCTAAGTTGAGTCCATACTGGACTTAAACTGCTTTTGCTATCGGGCTATTAATCAACGACACTGTCAAAAAATTACAACTTTAGATAGTAACAAGGCTAGGTTTTTGGCCATTCCGTTACTAAATAACTAAGCTAAGAACAACAAACTGAAATTTCAAACTATATGTTCTATATCAGTATAATTGACTTCTACGACAACCAACCACTAAAATTCATGACCTTACACATCACACCAGCTATTTATTGCAACTGCCATCACGATCATTTTAATGGATTTACAAAAGAGCGATTTGATCTTCGTGCAATTATGGAATCTTATGTTTATATATTGAAACCAATTTCGACACACTTATTTGGTAAAGGAGTTAGCACTCTTCTTTTTTCGCAGTGTAGAAGACATTTTAAGATGCCTATAGTGATTTTTATAATGATCATTGGTTTTTTAGATTTTGTAGCCAAGAACATGGTGTTTTGGTTAGTTTTATGTGAAATGTTTATCGACGTTATTATGGAGTTTGGAATTTTAAATATAAAGATATTTGAGTTACGACTTAACAATTGGAATATTTGTATTTTTCTGATAGAACCAGAGCGAATTTAGGTGCGAATGATGTTTCTAAGGCCGACATACGCACAACTAGGCCTATGTTACCCTAGAGGGCCTCTGAGTAATTGATAATAGAATTTGAATTGAATCGAAACAGTCGAAAGTCTAAACCAAGGCCAAGGTTCTGGTTTAACTAGAGATTTATTCTTGTCCGAAATGCTTGGAATTCCTACAATACTCCCTATATTTGTGTGAGTAATTAAATTAATGGTACATGCTTAATGTATGTTGGAGATTTCATCCGTTATTGTTGACTGTGGTTAATTCCTATGTAGAATACGAAGTTGTGTGTTAGGTTAGGTCACCGCTTTGTTTAGTTGTGAGTCGAGGTACTTACCTGTAAAGTTGGTAGTTGCTGGTTTGGTAAAATTATAGTTTAAAATGCCTACGTTCTTTGAAACATACAAAACAGCCCATTTCACTCCCAAGCCGTATTTAATTTCCCAGTAGATATTGGCCTACAATGTAGATCTGTGCGTTGGGTATGATTCACTTTTATCATCAACCGTTGATGAGGTCAGATTCTCACTCCTGATTTCTCATAGTATATTTCATCGTTATGGCCCAAAGTGTCTCTTGGTAAATGAGCGATGGAAATACATGTTTACCATCAACATTGCACCATTAAATGAACGAATTATGTTACAAAAAGAAAATGGTTTTCATTTAATTTTAACCTCTCAAAACCACTTCTAGCTTGTTTTCAATTTAATTTGCTAATATAAGCAAGCAGCTTTTTAGTAAGTATTCAATCGTCTATTTTGATTTTGTAAATTATACCATCAATATTCAAGGTATTTACAACAAGACAATAATTAACTACAATAGATACATAATAATTACGATACATGCAATTGTTTTCAATCAAAATGTATAAATGAGTTGAAAACATCTGATTTTTACTCCCTATGGGCAGAAAACGCTTTTTACTCCACTGGAAGTAGGTCTAAAAATGCTATTTTAGACCTGCAACGTGTGTATAAAAACATTTGTTTTTGCTACCTAGGGCCGAAAATGAGGATTTGTCGGCTCAAGATAGTTCTAGAGTTGCAAAACCATTTCGGTCCGTGGTACAAACTTTTCACCACACTATACCCTAGTACCACTATTCACCACAATAATAATGCACACTGATAGTCGACACAACTACAACTTTAGTTATGTGGAGAAATAATTTGAGGAATCAGCAAAAATAATAATTAATAGTTGCTAGGCAGCGGTGACAGTAAAACAATTCTATTGCAATGCTATAGATACTGATTGTGTATTTAATATGCATTCATGTTTTAAGAAAGTAAGCGGGCAGCTGATTTTTTTATGGACGTAAAAACTTGCTCGGTCCCCAAATGACGATGACAGCTGGCGTGGCCAAAAAACGTAACTTTCAGCCACCAATTAACGTATGTAAAACAGCTAAAACATCATAGTGTGGTGAAAACTATATTTGTTTACATCACATATACAAAAAATGTTTCACCTTAAAAAAAATTGTGATAAATAGAAACATGTTCAACGATTTGCCTGGTGGGTTGCTTAAACAAAACAATTACGCAATTTATTTGCCATGCGTTCACACAACTGAGTGCAAACCGGCTGAAAAGTTGGAGACATTTTGCAATTACCTTTGAGACGATTCGATACATAGTCGATTTGTAGGAATGTCATTGTGTGTGAACACAGCTGTAATCACTGACAGCGAATCACTACCTAGTACATGACAGCTGCCTCTGATTTGATGAGAGTTGATTTGATTTGTGAACATCTGTATGGTCTGTAAGTGTGCAATCATTGATGGCACATGATGGAGCAGAGGTTCATTTGTGTGGGTTGCGGCTAGTTGAGTTGACAACAATATACTCTGTGGCTAGCCTCGAGTTGTATGTTTTCTGTGGCCTCGGCACTCAGTCAGTAAACATGTCTAGAAAACCAACAAGATCAGATCCTTCTCTACAACTCTTTTTGAAATATATTAAAGCTTATTTATCACTTCAGTTTAACGGGTTTTTAACAGCGATTATCTCTTCAACTGCCTTAACTCCAACTGAGCTGTTCTCTATAAAACTCCTGAACAATACACAGGTGGAAAGCAGATGATGGAAAGCTGGGTGGTTTTTTGTCTGATTTTAATCACAATGAGATTCGTGTACAAAGTCTGTATCTATTGAATCTACAATAGTCCCTAGTCAGTCGGTAGAGATGTTTTGCTGGCGCAGGTAATAGCTCTTCATTTTCAGCTTTAATACGTTGCAAATTTACTCATCAATACTTTAATGTTATCTCCGGCTTTAATCAAGTATATTTTTATATTATTTTTTCAAATCAAATAATTTATAGGTTTTTTTTTGTTATTTTAATTCATTTGCATCAACATGTTAAATTTTGTATTAATAATCAGACTAATTTACAGGGTTTTTGGCATTAATTGACTGTAAAATGTTAGTTATTGACTGTAAGTGTTTTTTCTTGTTAGTTTTTTTATTCTGTTCTCTATTTGACTCTTTTCAACTGGTTCTCCCCATTGACATATGTTTTCCATACTGTTAATCTCATGTGTTAATCTTATGTGTTGTCTTAGTGCATTTCCCCTTTTTAGATACTTCTGGCTCAATTTGACCAAAAAAATTTATTAAAATTAAAATTCATGGCCATAACTCTAAGTTACTAATACTACTCGTAAGTACTCATGCTAACTCATATACTAACTTATAACTCATATTTCTTCAAACGTTCTCAGAAGATGTTCTCACTAACATCTTCTCTGTTGTCGTTTCAAACTTGTTTCAAAAACTGTACTGGGAGACGCTCAGAAATAAAGGCATTTTTATTTATTTAATACATTTCATGCATATATTTTTGGTGCCACAATATATTCTTAATTCTTAATACTAATAAATTATCAATTATTTAAGATGGGGACGCCACTATGTGCGTACATCAGATGCAGTCTTACTCGAATACGAAAATCACACTCCCTTCACTGACATATCAGCACAGATTTTCACAGATTTTACCCCCTGTGGAGTCTTACGCAATTCTGAGTTGTTATGAGACTGTAATAAAACTCGTGCTATGTGACTTTTCGTATACCATAATGTGCCATTTTTGTGCTTTTTATAAGGGTGTGGACTTAGGATCCCTGTACGTTAACAGCTTGTTGTGTATTGCTTAGGTTTTACGACATTTTGCTGTTAGAATACTTTAGGTGCAAAGAGACTTCGGTGCTATGAGACTCCTTTGCTTGTTGCAGGACGGCGATGCCCCCACCAGTGACGGGCGACCCAGAGAGTGAGTCCGTCATTCAGAGAGCTTCCCCCACCTCTACTTCACCAGGGATGACTATTACCCCCTCCCCACCACACTCGGCGCCTGCCACCCCTCTAGTCCTGCCTTGGGGACAGCGCTCTGGTGAGAAGAACTTTCTACTTCCTTCCAAGCCTTTAGCATAATTTTATGTGTGTGTGTGTGTGTAAGTGTGGTTCTTTAATTTTGTACGTGTATGGCATTTTCAAGGATTTATAGAGCAGGCACACAAACGGGTTAAAGGATTAAGCAACAAATACTGCCAGTCCAAATTAACAGCGTTTGCTCCCTAGTTAACTAACACAGTTAATAACATAACTAATTTACTTCTGAATTTGTTTAGTGTGTGCTTAAAGTGTTAACAACTCTTTAGAAGTATTTTTAGAAAGTATTTATATCTGTTAAACAAAGCATAAGTGCTAAGTGATTTCGCTATAGCATTACTGTATTTTTCTATTTTCGTTCTTTAGCATGAACTCCACTTTATTTTAAATTTGCATCATATTCTGTCCTGTAGATGTACCAGTGCCTTATCTAGCCCCTACACTACCATTACCGTACTTCTGGCCATCCATTTTCGCGTCACCCTCCAGGCTGTACCTACCCCCATGGGCGTCAACCCTTCCAGAGGACCTCAGCCCCGACAGGGCGGGCTCCGACACAGGGTACACGCCCGAGAAAGCGAAGACAGGTCAGTGAAAGATCAAGATAACATATGTGTACAAAAAAAAAACAAGCCATCATACGTTCTAGTATGTCTCAACATACAACTCTTATAGAGTCCAGATTAGTATTTTACCCCGTCGCTAGTTAGACTGCATCATGTGTTGTACTTACTTTGAATAGGTACCCTTAGGCTGAGACTGGGTATCAGAGTTGAATCAAATTCAAATTCTTTCGTTTTGTTAGAAAAATAATTTATAACACATTTAGTACTAATTAGTTTAAGACTCAATTATTGTATTTGGCGATAGGTTAAATAATAATTATTATGTCAACAGTTACATTAAAGTAATTGTATGCAACTTCCGTATCTTCCATAAAATCTGTAGACAGTTTGTCGCTTAGCATTGTTTAAGAGCAAACTGTTACGTTGAATTGATTGGGGATGTAAAATACTGTGTGCATATTTGCATTCCACATAACGTAAACAATTGCATAACGTTAACTCTTATTCATTTAAACTCAAACTGTTTAAAATTGTTTCCAAGTACAACCCTCATATGCTGCCTTTTTATTATCATTTTACCATTGACTATGGATCACACTAAATTCAATTCTGTAACCGACTCCTGCTTGTCTGCAGATGAGGATATGCCCCTCAACCTGTGTATCAAGCCCCGCCGACCCCTGGAGATATGGTCACCGGCGACTCAGTGTGAAAAAGAGGAGACACCCCAGCCTCAGCAACCTGCGACCTCCACAGTATCTCCGGCCGAGAGGACATTTCAGGTACGAATAAAAATCATGGTGGCAGGAGTAACGGGTTAGATGTTGCAGTCCATTACTACTCGTACTAACTCTATTTACAGTCCATAGAAGTTAATAATACAATAGGTTATATTATTTACTTCGATGTTACAGCCTCTCTACTCTAGGTTTGCATGACTTTTAGTAATGATTGTAGCTAGTTTCCTTGAAATAAAACCAGGAAACTGAACGAAGAAACCCCAAGTCCGGACCCTTTTAAACCGTAAAACATTGTTTGGATTGAATAACAACATGTTAAATAAAATGCATATTTGAAGTATGAGTGATCTAGTAAATACAGCCTATTGAAGGAATGAAACTCTTCACTATTCAAAGGCATACTCACATTCAAGCCTCGATTTCGATTTTAATTCCATGAAGAATATTTATAGAAGTAGGCTCAATTAATTTAAAATCAGTTGCTCGCATATGAACATGTTTTTAAAGGGGTTCAATGCATATTTAAAACTGCTATTTTATTTGTTTCAATGCCAGTGAAATCTTTAAATATTGTAATATTACAATTAATTGGGAAAGCGGTCATACTTTGTGCTCCATTCAATTTTTCGTGGATATGTCAGGAGTTAAATTATTTAATGTTATATTCAGTGATATTCTGGAAGATCTAACTTATATATAATTTTTTATGCATTCTTCACCACTTAACCCCAGATGGGTCGGTTTGTTTTGGAAACACCCGCTGTGGTGGCAACCCCGCTTCAGAGCGGAACCTTCATGCTTTGACGCTTCGGTGAAATCCTCCTTCGAATCACCACCGATTGAAATGCTGAATGGCGAGACAAGTTGATTATGAGCTCCACCCCGCACTTATCAACCTACAGGGAATTATATCGATCCGGGGATATTTGTAAGGCTCGCTGACGACAGTTGTCATTGATTTGAATGGATTTCATCGTCCTTCGCGGAGAGATAATTGGGTTGAAATGATTCAGTTAAGGTTTTGTAAAGAGTAGAGGGTCGTACTATGTAATTTGATATATTGTATCTCGGTGTTTACAATAGGGTGGAAAATAGTCTTTACGTATAGCTTTTAGTGGGAAAGGATTTCTATAAATAGAAAAAACCCCACATGTAAAAACCTATAGTTTTTGTTTGTTTATCTTTTCGATCAGTAGCATACAGGGATACGTATAATCAGACCAAGATATTTTCATGTAGTTCAATAATTTCGTAATTAGCTGGATGTGAAACTAGTCCCTAGTAAAATCTAGTGGACTTAACTTTACTGCTCTAATCACTAGAACAACTTTAATGATAGACTAGACTTTAGGGAGTCGGTGGCTCAGTCGGTAGCGTCGCGGACTTCGGGCCCAAGGCAGCGATGTCGTGGGTTCGGATCCTGGTCACTGCCGATAACATTATATCAGTACAGTTCACCTTTGTACTGTACCGGCTCACTCCTTGCTTTGCTGCAAACGATCCACGCACGGGCGCTTAGTCTATGTGGACGGGCAAATGCAAGGTTAAAAGAGGCCGCCAACCTCTTTAAAAAAAAAAAAAAAAAACTTTAATTACCGATCATAAACAATACCTAACTACACCCACAAGCATAGAAAACTTTTGATAAAAGATTGCCGCGTACTGGAGGGCAAAGAAGTGTATAAAATACAAGGAATTGAATTGAAATATCGATAATCTTAACGTATAATTAACGTAATTTGTAATTTGTTCTAGTGCAAACAGTGTGGAAAAAAGTTCAAGAGATCGTCAACGTTGACAACACATCTGCTGATACACTCGGATACGCGGCCCTACCCTTGTCAGTTCTGTGGGAAGAGGTTCCACCAGAAGTCCGACATGAAGAAACACACCTACATACACACAGGTGAGTCTTGTATCATGTTGTATACACTTACACACATCTGCTGATACACTCGGATACGCGGCCCTACCCTTGTCAGTTCTGTGGGAAGAGGTTCCACCAGAAGTCCGACATGAAGAAACACACCTACATACACACAGGTGAGGGAAATGCATATTGAATAATAGTTAGAAAACAAAGTATTCGTCAAGACAAACTTTCACGTGTTTCCAATAAAGTACAATAAATTATAGAAGAACTGCGTGTTCTTGTAAGGACAAGTTAAAAAAATTATCGCAAATTGTAGACCAAGCTAGGATTAATAAGCAACGGGAATTGCCTAAGGCTTAAAGTATAAGCTTGGTCAAAGGCGGCCGGCGTGAATAATATAACGTGAACCAGGGCGTTTCCCGAGGTTTGGATGGTCAGACGACAATTGAATAAATCATGTCCGATTTCGTCAGGTGGTCTTCATCGAGAGTTCATTGCATGATCACATTTGTACGATATGCAGTGTGCTATTTACACCAAATTTTTTACAAAGTCTAATTTATAGCAACTTTTAGACCTGTTTTTTTGAGACTCTTCATTGTGAATGTTAATTTAAAGTTAATAATGGCTTTTCCATTTGGTAAGTGTTTTGACTACACCACGTAAGGAAACTCCCGAAACGTAGTGTAGTTGAAATACTTACTGATAGGAAAAGACCTTATCTTAAGATTCTTGGACCCTCTCTCCTCTGGTTGGACACAGGAATATAACTACAGCTCAGCATTAACAAATGTTGGCTTTCACATGAAACAACATTATGAACCAACTCCATTTAATATCTATCATTGTCTCTATAATGTCGGGTAATTGAGAGAACGGTACTAACGGTAGTCCAAATGAAAATGCCTTTTCAAATGACAAAGATAATTTTTATTTCTTAGTTTACAGTTTTCTTTCGCAACCAAAATTTGTTTCTCAACTGCACAGATTGTTTGGTATTTACTATGGTCAGTCTGGGTAGTATACCCATTAGGTCGCATTATCAAAGTTAAACCCCGATACCAATTACAAATAATCGGATCGATTTCGATCACCGCGGGACGTAGAGATTTCCCTAGGTAGGGACTACTAATGACATGTTACGACTCGCATGAGACCGTCCACCTGTCTTGGAATAATTAAAACAAATCGTCCTTTATTATTCACAACCTCCAGGCGTCTTCCTAATTCCCCTCCTCGGAGCTTGCATATTTGAGCGGTTGATTACAACGTTGTTCATTTGATTAGAACCTTTCAGAGCTTCCATTTCTCGATTTCAATATTTAGCTTCATTGATTGCATTGACACACTTTTCTGAAGGCCGTATGTGCATGCACGAGTAATGTTTTATGTAATTTAGCGTTTCCTAATTTTATTTTCTATTTGATGTACTCGAAGGCGAATTCTCTTTTCTTTTTAAGTGAAGTTAATTTTATTTTCTCTTTGAAGTACTTTAGGTAAAACTTTCAAGCATATAAAATATAAACCATTTTTTGCCATTTGACTCGTTATATACTTCATAGAGCGTTATCGTTTCAGCATACAATAATATCAAACTAGAAATTATTGTATTTAATAAGGTTTTACACATTTATACCTAATTTACAAATATTTTTTATTCAAGATTTAAAATACTATATCATTTATATACACGTACAAAATATTTTCACACATTTTAAATATTTTGAATTACCGGTAATTGAAATTAGATTAGAAAAAACTTCACATAATTTTATACTTTGCTCAAATAAACACAAGTAAGGTTAGGTTGTATTGATCAGTAATTCATCTCATAAGAATTACACATAACATTTTCTATAAATGTGCTAAATATTGGAGTTTGAATAAGAGAATAAGGACACTATTCTGTTTGGTTGTGACCATTTACCCTCACTACAAAGTGCAATAAGTCGATAAGCATATTACTGTCATCACTGTCCATTTTGGTACTAATGCTACAACAATAAGTTACAAATAGAAATCTATTTTTGCCGACCCCGTGAGAAAAACCGTGATTGAGCAGAGGTTAACACGAAGTTATCAAAATCATTTATCAGGGATCAGGACAAGTGATAAGGGAACAGTACAATCTAAACATCGCTGAATGAACACGCAAACCGGGGTAAACATATACGATAAAGCAGTGAAGTTAATTTTATATTGACAATAGTATTGGAGAAAACTTTCATCTAAACACCGGGGACGAAAACATACTTTAATGACAATTCGATAGAGCTTGTTAAACTGTTAATGGACATGTTATCGTTTAATTAGTTGTCTAGCTGACGAACGACTCGTTTACATGATCAAAAACTAAAAAAGTCTTATTTTGTGATCTTGAGGTTGCAGTTGAATCGATTTTCAATAGTTTTTTGTTTGGATGTACACAATTTACTTACTTATCCCTTAATTATTTATTGTTATTCTAAATAGGACATTTGTTATCTTACAAATCCCATGTAAATCGCTTGTAAAAAATCTATATTTATTCATATATGATTTATAACATATTTTACATATAAAATCTTTAATTACTACAACTGCAACCAGTTATTGAATGTCACACATTCAACTTGTTCGATAAACAGTCTTACAAACAATTTACCAGCGCAGGTGTAGCTCATAAACATAACAAACCGTATTGGCCGTTAAACCGGTGCGGATTATGGAGATTGGAGCGTTTTTACGGCTCTTTGAGAACGCAGGTAAGAGTGAAATGGGTCGGCAGTTTGTCGGCTCACTGTGTACACCTGCCACTAGGCACGCGTCTTTCATTACTGGCTTCCTGTACCTTCCACAGCTGTGATTATGTTGTTTTGACGGCGTGTGTTGCTTTTTGCCCCCCTTTTCGCTTCTTTCTATTGAATTCCTCTGCTCCTCCATCGTCCTACCCCTCTTCGCTTGATCCCTTTTAGGAAGTTGATTTTTTCTATTGAATTCTCCTGCATAACCACTAGGCCTTTGTTATTTAGATAACCTTTGTTTTCAACCATTTTTTACTGTTTCTTTCGACTTTCCAATTTTTTATTTCAATTTGTTGTAATTATTTTAGAGGTGTCTTCAGGATAGCCTATTTTAGAGGTACATTTTCCCCACAATAGTGTGGTGAAAATGAACCTCTAAAAACCCTGGGTGATATGCAGGTTTAATAAACCCTCTAAGCTTAGTGTCTAAGTGGTTGTAGTGTTCGCCTTACCATAACACATTTACTGGTTCGATTATGAGAAAGGTCAGACAGCTTTATGATGGTTTGAAACTTCGCCCATATGTCCTTGATTATTGGGACGTTAATAAAATATCCTGGATAAAGGTACGGGATATCTTAGTCAGTAACAAAGCTGCACAGATCATTGTACTACTTTCGTTTCGCCCTTTATCCATAAATTAGTTGAGGTGTGGACAGCTATCTTAATTGTAAAAAAATAAAAAGTAAACGTTACTCGTGAACGGAGTTAAGGTTGTGTAAGGGGAGTGGGTGATGGTGGGGGGGGGGGGTTCGATTAACTAAGTGATAATTACAATAATTGCCGTCGTGTCAAGTGATCGCGCCACTGTCCATCACTTGTTTGCTTTGCTCACCTCCGTAACCGAGCCAAGCTTCTAGTCTCTTACCTAGATTGGATTGGGTTTTGGTTGACGGATATGAATTAAACCTCTTGTTGTAAAGATTGATGAGTAATCGATAAAAATAATTTGTTAAGAACGTTGGTGTTTGTTTGCTGCGGATCATGAGGTGACATTTTATGGATTAGAGCTTTTCTGGAAATTACCTAATACTCAATTTTTTCGTGAACGTTTTAAAAAATGGTTCTGTCAAAAAATAATTTTACAAGCAGAATGTTGGTGTTTCAAAAACAGGGCGTTTTCGCACTCTTTATTCCTAGAGTATCGTGTCAGGGTGAGAAACATTCATAAAAGGATGACAACTTTGTATAAATCACCATTAATTTTCAATTTTCATTAAATTAAAACATTTAAATTTATTTCCATTTTGAATGTTAAATTCTAAACTCATTTACCTTCATTACCAACAATTCTTGTCGATTCATTAATATTGTGGCGAATTTCAACTGTATAAGTTTAATAACGAGATTTACAATATGTATGTGTGTAAACTTGGTAGTTGATTTAGGGTATTTTTCGTATTTGCAAAACGTTTTATACCCAGATAAAATGGAATTTTTGTTGTCTATGAATTCTATAAAGCAACGCGATCTACGTTAAAGCACCCTGTGTTCTTCATAAGAAGTTTTTTAAGTAAAACACTCTTCTTTGGGTGAGTTATTTATTTATCCAACAATGACAATTTATGAAAGTAGCTTATAATGATAGACCTGGACACACATTCCGACGCTGCCGACTGGAATCGATCCTTAAAATGACCTGAGGAAATATACTATGGAGTATGGAATTACTCTCTACCGGTAGGCTACACGACAAACTTTTATTATTTTTTCGGACTAAATTTGTGTTAACACGACCTTTGTAGTTCTGGACCTTTGTACTTCTTTCTTTACATTTCTAGGTCTAAGATATTTGAGAACCGTTTGTTTAAACCAGAAACTTCACAAAATCAAATCCTAATAATCCGGCTTTCTGTATAGGAACACTATTATCTACCATTAAAAAACTTATACGGAACTCTAATTTAGTTGTTTTAGAAGAGTTTTGAGTAAATATAAATTAAAAGCATAACATAAAAATTGTATGTGTCCGTAGGACGACAGCTCGAGTAACTATAGGAACAATATAGTTTAGGGATGTATTTTGATCAAATTTGGCAAATTTTTTTATTCATACATTTTAATTAGGCCTATTAACATTTCTAGAAAATAATCCAATTTATTACTTTCCCTGAAGCAGCAAACCTAACTACTCATTAGAATTAATGTTATTTAAAAATATAATAAATTTGAAAATTTTTAGGAAATATTTTATTGAAAATCAAACCAGAAAAATCGAATTCGCTAGGATGCTGGTTTGCTGCGACGGGTGTACTAAAATTGGTTAAAAATGTTAATATGGGAATGGAACGTACGTAGAGGTCTATCCATAGAGAAACAGTACATACACAACCTCATTACCTTAGTCATACGTTTTCTAGCAGACCTATCAACCCCCCCCCCCTCCACCTTGCTGTCTCAAAGGAGTCGTTATGATTGGTCGAAGCATGATTCATAAGAGATCGCGCTAAAGGAGACATCTCACGACAAATCTGATGCACTCCGCTGGGAGAGGGAGGAATATACATTACGTAATTGGTGCATTAACTTAGTTCAGACGGTGATAAGTAATAATTACTAATTACTATCGATTGGTAACCGTGTTGCAAACCAACAAGATCGTCTTCCTTAAACAAATAATACTGTACAGTAAGAGATTCGTAATCATGATCTGAAAAATTGTGTTAATTGAATTGTGTATATATTTATAGTCTTTAAGCCTACGGAAGGATAAGAAAAAAATCCTGAAATTTTGTGTATTGTCTTATGTTGTTTTAACGTTACGTTCATGTGTTCTCCTTAATAACATAATTCTCAGACTAAGAATACACTACAAAGAGGGAAACTTATAGTCCCATTTAGGTGTAGTTTTTTTTACGATGATGATTCTATTAGTTTGAAAATAAACTCAAACAAATCTCTGACAAAACTTTTTTATACAACGGATTTTGATCCAAGCCATAGATCGAAAACTGTGTAACAGCTTCTGTTAGATTAATTATCTTAATATGGAAATATAAGGTAGACAATATAATGTTTACACTCAGTAATGAGTAATGTTATTCGTAAGTTCAATTGAATTCTTAAAACAACAAACCTAATATGAGAATGACTTAAATAGGTACATTTGACATTTAATTACTAAAAGGAATCCAACCATTGAACATTTTAGGTAGGTATCTTCGAGTCTTTGGATGTGATATCAAAAGCTATTTTCTCTTTACAAGCTTACCTAACACACTATAATTTTAAATTGCTATAATTGTGAAATATATAGCAAATCAATGTATCCAAAGGTTTGTTAGGATTTACCCTACTCACCTTGTCTATATCATTACCACCCGCATACATGACCTTGGAAGGCAGCCCTCATATCTCTTATCAGTGGTCAAGGTCGACTTCCGTATTGTATTGTGTTCCGTACTGTTGACAGTATAGAGGCTGCGTTTTGTGGTTCCCAAATTAAGTGGTACCTAAAATTCCGTGGCGATTTCACTACATCCACCTAAACCGTGAAGAACTTTCTCTGTCAGGGAAATCTATGTTAAAAGCAATACATAAATTTGAAACTTATTTATTTGGTTTTTTTTTCAGGCGAGAAGCCCCACAAGTGTGTTGTATGTGGCAAGGCTTTCAGTCAATCCTCCAACCTCATCACGCATATGCGCAAACACACAGGATACAAGCCCTTCTCCTGTGGCTTATGCGAGAAGGCGTTCCAGAGGAAGGTAACTATCACCATAGAACAAACAGAAACTCTTATAGATTTATCATGGGGTCAGCTGAAGTGCTGACAATTTAAGGTATCTTCCTGATCGGTATATGTTTCAAAGTTCAGTAAGAGTTTGGAATCTTTTTCTTCGGGAGATGACCGACTTATTTGGATTAGTTGCACTTGGAAATTACTCGGACCTTCTTCTGAATTTCTAGAAAGGACTCTTAAGAACAGTCGTTTAAGATGCACTTAACATTTATCCGCTTTGGGGAAAGCTACAATTTAACAGAATTTAAAAGTTAAATTGTAGCTTCTCCTGAATGCGGATTTTTTCAACGCATCTAATACGAATTTTCACCAGTTTCTGCTCACAATGAATTTCTCTTTAAGCACATTTTACAAATCCTTTCGTGAAATTTAGGAGAAGGTCCAAATAATCTTAACAAGCATTTCAGCCAATATGTTTTGCACTAAATAGAGCTAACATTCTGGCTATCCCTAGGTGGACCTTCGCAGACACCGGGAGAGTCAACACCCTGGGTATCCTCCCCAGCAGACCCTAGTCTCCAGCAGCAGTCAGTCACCGGTCCATCAGGAGGTCAAGATAGAACCTGTCAACTTACCTGCCAGAGCACAACAGTACTTCTGTACCTCCTAGTAGGGATTTCACTCTTAAAAGTATCTGTAAGGAACCATTTTCCCTTATTCTGTACCGTCGGAAGATTAAATAGGAGATCGGAGGGACTCTGAAAAGTATTTTTCAGAAACTCTTTTCCTGTGTATCGTCATCAATACTTCTGTACCTCCTAAGAGAAGATGGAGGGAAAGTACCTGGGTGGAACTCTTTACCACATTTTGTACGTTCTACTGGAAGATGGAAGTAAAAGATTGCAAGGACTTTGAAAGCATATAGGAACTATTTTCTTTCCTCTGTACCTCAAGTAGAAGATGGAAAAGGAGATTACAACTGCTTTGAAAAGTATTTATAAGGAGCTGTTTTCTTTCTTCTGTACATCCAGTAGAAGATTGAAAAGGAGAGTGCAAAGACTTTAAAAAGTACTTATTAGGGACTAATTTCCTTCTGTATTGTCATCATGTCGAAACTAGTTATTTGTTCCTTATTTAATAATCTCACAACTGTTATGAACTTTTAAAGTTCCATTTGATGTTTCATACGTTGGAAATTGACTGTGACGAGTCATTCAGTGTTTTAAGTGTTTACCAAACCTTTATTGAACGAATTTAAACCCTACGAAAATTAAAGTGTCTCAAAGTACCGCTATACTTGTAATGAACTTAAAAGTTTAATTGTAATCCAACATCCTGATTACTCAAAATAGTGAAACAAATTTGTTAACAGAATCACTTATAGCCTCTACACGTGTATTTGTTACCTGTAAAAAAACAACAGTTATGTAAAAACCGTGAATTTAGTGTGCATTCCGTTTTATAGTTAAGAAATGTAATATCCGTGTAGTTCGTCAGTTACCTTTGAATAGTTGAAGTCTGGATAAGTTGTTAAATTTACTTATTTATATTAAACGTGCATTAAGTAAAATCCTTAAAGGATTCTAAGATTTTGCTTTAAATATGCCATTGTTGACTAACAATACTAGCTTTATTTTTTGAGCAGTTACTTGGTAAACGCTTATAATTTTACTTATAAAATATTAATTAAAAGTCCGTCCATGTGTGGCCTATGACCAAAGCTCAATGAGTTTCCTAAAGTCGAACTTGTTTAGATTGTGGCTAATGTTAAGCATTCACTGCCTAAAATCTTAAAATAACTCGACTGTAGATAGTTGCCATACTGTTAAGTTAGGTGTATAACAATGTCTAGTCCAAACTATCACAACTAGTTGTTGACTAGTCGGAGAGCTTGGGGTCAGTTTAAATAAATAAAAAAGTTTCGTGATAAATATAACTACTCAAGATAAATGTGCACTAATTGACTTTTGATTTTTTATTTTGTACTTGGGTGAGTTTTTTCTCTTGAAGATTGCTTCATATGTCTTTAAAATATTTCATTCTTCCTAAATTGAGTTTATTACGTTTCAATTTAGTTCTAAATTGAGTTATCTCCCCAAATTGGAAAGTTCTTTACGCCACACTACATTATTTTGACGAACTTCCCACGCAAGGATTTAGTCCAGAAAACAGCTGTTTGCCGCCAGCTTATTCAAATGGGGTTTCATTGCGTAATACTGTTCTGCAATGAGTTTTACCGGACACCAATCAGCTGATTATACTGTATTTGCGTGGCAATGATTTGGTTATAAACAAAAACATAACCTCTCTTAGAGGTTATGACTAGTAATGTTTAGTCCTTTAGTTGGTGGAAATATATAAGGATTTGTACGAATTAAGTAGTATGGCGTAAACTATCGTACGTAATTCGTCCAAAATGTGTGTACCGGACTCGTATGGTAATCCCGTACTCGACTTCGTCTCGCACGGGAACGACCACACTCGTCCGGTAAACACTTATTTTCAGGACTAGTAACGTAATATACTATTTCACAATTTATTTGACGTCCTCTTACCAACATTGTAATTTTAAAATAACGGGTTGAAATTAATTCAATTTTATTTGTATTGACAATGTATCAATTAATTGCAATTTATCTTTTTCAGTGTAATATATGTATGTAATGCTCGGACATGTAAATTTGCACGGTTCCGGGTTTATCTTCACCAAAAAACAGGCCTCAGGCTATAAAGCAGCTACAAACCAAAGAAGTTGTAAACTGAATTGTATATCGTTAAATTTGTATAGTTAAATTCATTATATATGTACAGATAAAGACTGCACGGATAGAAATATTATACAGCTCAAATGCTCACTAGTCACTGTTTAATGTTGGATCATTAAAAAAGATCAAAATTTCCAAATTTATTTTGATATTTAAGTTAATCTAACGTCACAACGAAACAAATCCTATTAAATCCATTTCCATAACTTCCAACCATCAAAACTGTCTACAGGTAAAAGGTGGTTGTTGATTGTGGCAAAGTAAACTTTGAGATGATTAGTTCCTGGAACTTTTGTAGTCTAACGTTTTATTACATCTAAATTCCTACTATTCAAAGTAACTGTGTTCAGTTTTCGATCGTGCAGTCTTTATTAAATCGGATATATTGTTGAAACAAACCCTTCTAAAAGGTGCTAAATATAGTTTAGATAAAAATGGTAATATTGATTTTGTAGCTTGGAGACCAGTAGAAGCCATGGCTAGTTTGTTCACTTGTTGTATTATACAATGTTTGTACTGAAAGTATTATAGTGTTTTGTATAAAGACAATAAATCGTATAAAGTTTCTTCGTTGTGATTTCTACCCGTAGAGTTGTAGTTTAATTGAGCATACATTTCAACAAAAAAATTGCGTATTTCACAAAAGAAAATAATATGATGAACTGTGTGGAAACAACGTGCAAAACTGTAAAAAAGTATTTTTTAAATTGTTTTAATTTGTATACATCTAAATTGTTTTCATTGTTCGTAATACATATTTTGAGATTCATATAAAATGTATTACGCTTGAACATATCTGTTACGTTTCTGTAAGTAATTCAATGAGGAGCGATATAACTGAGGTCCATTTGGAATTAAAACTTTACAAAGGTGTTTCCATAGCAAATTATATTTAACAATTTAGTTGTGTATCAGCTGACTTCTCTCTGAAATTTAGGCAGATACAGAGCTACTGTATATATACAGGGTGACAATTAAGTCTTAGGACGACTTTATAACTTTTAAACGACAAACGATATCACAACCACATTTGGTATACCGTTACTGGAAATTGTAAGCTACTTTTCTGTGTACATGGTGGTCGGATATCACCTTTGGGGGACGGCCCGTCGGGAGTCAGAAGAAAATCTTTAATGACAGCCTATGTTGAGTTGTACATCATTTTAAAGGTCTACTTCAACTGAAAACAATGCCGCAAACCGCACTTCAAAAGGTTGATCCTGCGCAAAATGGCAGATGTTCAAAGATTTTCAAAATCAGCCAATTTCTTTAAATTAAAACACTTTTTTAAATCTTTAAACAACTGTCATTTTTTAACGGATGGTCCTTTTGAAGTACGGTTTGCGGCATTTTTCTTTGCTTAAAATTCCCTTTAAAATGATCCCCATAACTTCACATTCAGTGATCCAAATAACTCTTCAGGGCGACGGCCCACAAGGAGTCGGAAGTAAATCTTGAATGGAAGCATAGGTCGATATGCACATCACATTAAAGGTATTTATTATTAGAATACAATGCCGCAAACCGTACTTCAAAAGGACCATCCGTTAAAAAATCCTATCAACCTTTTGAAGTGTGGTTTGCGGCATTGTTTTCAGTTGAAGTAGACCTTTAAAATTATGTACAACTCAACATAGGCATTAAAGATTTTCTTCTGACCCCCGACGGGCCGTCCCCCAAAGGTGATATCCGACCACCATGTACACAGAAAAGTAGTTTACAATTTCCAGTAACGGTATACCAAATGTGGTTGTGATATCGTTTGTCGTTTAAAAGCTATAAAGTCGTCCTAAGACTTAATTGTCACCCTGTATGTACTGTATGTCGAATGCTTTAAGGTAATAGTAAACATTAGCGAAAATATTAATTGGTACATACTAAATTAACAAACATTTAATAACACTCAAAATAATTATACAATTCATGCACTTAAACTACAGTATAGAAGATATTTTTTTCCTACAGTTACTTGACAAAGCGGGCTGTATTGTACTGACGATAGCATGCAAAGTAGCCAATTGTTGCATTTACCTAATTTTGCTGCACTCTTTTTACTTTAGCCGCACCCCAGTATTTCAACCAAACAACAAAAAACAGTGTGCTTTTATTAGGCACGCAATACGTGTGAAAATAAGTTGGTAAAACTTAAAGATACTACAACTACGATTACAGGTAGATGGTGCGGTGTTTTCCATTTCGTTCAACGCTTGGATTTAACCTTACATAAAACCTGTTGTTTAGTGTTTGAAAGACTAATTATATCTATGCTTTATTATAACTGTAGGAAAAATATCATGTGTAACACGGGCGCAAAGTGTCTTTGCACACTAGTTACACAAATAGCTAATTTAATTTACATTTTACTGATGCATGGAATGATTGAGTCAAAATCAACGTTCTTTTTTATATTAGTTTACAAGTAAAATTACCAAAAGTATAAGAAGAAATGTCACTTACATTATGTATTCGAAAAACTATATAAAAAACATTACATTTGTATTTTGTCAGGTCAAGAAGGCCTAATGAACACACTATCTTAAGGATTTGTATCCTTATGGATCCAGCTGATGACATTTTTCACGTCCGTTGCCTTTGAAGGTGTTTTCTTTTAGGTGTATGGTGCTATTTTAAAAACAACTATTGTCACCAATTGAAAACTATCTAATTCGATACTAGGACTGCTATGGTATCGCAGCTAAAGAATAAAACACACACTGTACATTTTACTCAACGGCGAGAGATAAATATCTATAAGCCGGTGGCCTTCCGGAATGCAATACTCTGCAAAAGACATCCATTCCTAGTTTTTCACGACCAAAAAATTACTGTCTTCTCTCATGATCACTACTAGGCCCAGAACCATCAACAATCTACTGAATTCTCAGGATCGAACCGGAGACCTTATCCAGAGTATCCTGTACAGTGTAAACAGTCAAGGTATCTCGTGTAACGGTGAAGCTCTCCCAGCTTCTTGTAGCCAGACTGCAGATGCCAGGCAGCAGGCAGGTGGCACGTGCCGCCTCCAAATCTCTTCAACACCTGTTAGTCTACCTGTCTCACCTCACCCAGACCTACAATCTTCTAATGATAGTGTACTAGGGAGTTACACTAGGGTGGTTCTTTGTGGTGAGGACACGTCGAGGAATTTATCATCCAGTAGACCACCACACAACGATGTAAGAACTAGTAGAGAACCAGTTGTCTATCATTGCCACCCAGTGTGTTGGCTATTTGAACATGAAAATGCTCTTACCTTATCACTAATCAATATTTATTTTGAGGGTGTTTCTTACGTTTTTCTCAAGGGAACAATATACACGCCGGTCTCATTACTACTATAGATAAATCGTTATTTAAAAGCTCAACAACATATGGACCATGGATTCAGAAATGACCCCAATAGGGATTGAATCATTTACAACTGTATCTTTAAATTAAATGGCGAGCCGTACTACTTGGATACTATGCGATGAGGGGAATCTACTAAGGTTTAGTCTAACCTTAAAAATGGAAGATGAGCGGCCTATAAGGGCGATGGCCTATGTGGCTTTTTAATAACTAAGATCGGAAGTTTCTTTAGCCAAGGATGACAGCGGGAATCAGTGTAACAAGAGGAAAAGGCAGCCTTTTCTCAGTATAGAACCGACGATTAACACAAAAACACAATAAAATGTATGGCAATATTATGAGAAACAAAAACAGTGGAATTTAGACTGTATGGACAATATAATTGCTGGAAAGGTACACCTCAGTCCCTTTATCACAAGTTTTACTAGAATCAAATCAGGACCGGAAACACCAGGTGACTGTATGTAATGCTGAGATGTCCAATGATGTCATCTGACAGTTATGTCTTTGGACCACCGCAACAGGAACAATGTCAGCTCCAGTTCTGGGATAACAAACCCCCAGACTCGTCTTATCACATTCGGTTCCTCTGTGATAATCTAACGACTGAATTCCATTGTATTAATTAGGCTATATTAATTATATCAATAATTTTTTAAATAGGAACGCCACTATAGTGTATTTGAAGGATAACTTGGTACTAATTTGTTAATGGGAAGGTAACTTATATCATTTTATGATTATCTTCGTACAAAAATAGATTTTAATACTAAAACAAGTTAACTCCTCTTAAGTTTTTTTGTTCAAACTAAAGAATAATGGATTTTTATAAACAGCTTTTATAAAATAAAATGATCTTTGCCAAAACGTCTATGCGAAACATGAGGACGTAACAATTT